TAGATAATGGCTTTGTTAGGGCTTCTCAAATTAGAAAGATACTTATGTACATCCGCACTTAGGTCTAAATGTCCGCATTAGTTACATCCGCCGGACAGTCAAACTTTGACTGTCCTTAGGCGCGCCGTGTGGAAAGCTTGAAGGAGAGAGGATTGGTTTAAGGGTTTCTCTGATTGACCAGATTCTCCTCTGTCGCAAGCTCTTTCTCCGCCGTGGGAGCTTGCGAGCTTGGCCGAAAAGTCAGGGGAAGAGATTATCAAGAATAGAGTTTGGATGTTTGGGTGTTTTTCTGGAGTCTTATTTGTTGCTTTGTGATGGGTGCAGTATTTTTGAGGGTGTTTGGTTATCGCAATAAAGTCTGCTAGTTGTCGGAACCTGCCGCGTGCCCCTGCCCTAAAACCTACTTAGTGCTTCCCATGTTCCACACATACCACCAACAACCTCAAATACTCCTTTTTACGCTCCACCTCGACCTACTCACAGAGCAATTTTGGAACTCAAGAAATAGTAAGCAAGTTTACGCCCTCTTCATCGTATTTCACAATATTTGCGTGGAGTAGCATTACTTACTGTAGTAGCGACCTCAATCCTCCCTAGCCTCCCCGCGAATCTAGCCACCAGTGTTGGCTGCAATATCCTCTTCTTCAATATCACTGCCGCCTGCGCGAAAACAGCGACTAGGCGACAAACCAAGAGCTTGTTACTCCTCCGGAGGACACCCAATTGTCTTTACTACCTACCATTCACCAAGTCACCGACGACCTCCACGATCACAAGACAATCTGGACCGATGCACGGAATTATTAGTATTCTAAACATGGCGGCGGATCTGTTCTCATGCCCAAAAATTTTCACCTCGATCGCAAGCTCGCTCTATGAAGTTGCAGGTTAAAGAGCAAGGAACGGCACGTGAGATCATGGCCGGTTCACAGATTCGCAGACCGGTCAGATAAAACCCACTACGAGGTGAAAGTCACCCTTGACATGGGCCGGTCAAGATCGAATCTTGAATGCCGGGTTGGCCTGCAGATATCTGCAGATATACATGTGGACGCCAGAAGGCAAGGTGGTTTGAATCGATCGTGCTACGTTTGATCCAGCGAGGAATGTCTATGGGACAAAAGGTGGATGCAACAAATAATATGAATCATTGATTCCGGAACCCCGTCTTTGTTGCGACGGGAAGTATTGCTGTATGACGTGTTCCCAAGCTGATTTCAATTGTCATGACTGACGATCCGATAGCAGAACGTCGACCAGAAATCGCCATCGCCAGCGCTAAAAGCATTTGTTGTCGGTAATTTCTATGAACACAACCGAATGAATATTACAAGTGGTTTTGGAAAAGGACTATCAGCCTTCGCTCCTGGAACAATATTCGAAGCGCAAGACGCGTGGATGGAGAGACAGTAGTTCTCTCCATCCAGGACTTCTTGAAGTTCCGCTTTGGATTACCGATTATCATGTTTCGGCCAATTGATACCTGCAGACCGGCCAGATGATTTCCAACGGACTTTGGGACTGCCTGGGTCAAAAATCGACCAGCCGCCCTTGGGTGAATCCAAACGGCCGGTGGATGGGCGATACATAACCGGTATAGATTGTGGTGGAACAGCACTACCCGTGATCGTTCCTTTCTGAAGGGAGGGGGCAGGGTGAGGGGTAGAGGAGGATGGAATGGTTGTAAAGGTTTTTAGGGGATAGGGAGGCACGATTTGGAAGCTATGGGGCAACCTGTAGTGGAAGTGCTGGGGATTATGTGTATTTGAAAGCCATAGCCGCAAGCGGCCGAATGCAATATGATTACAAACAAACAAAACCGTTACTTTCTGTCTCAAGAAGTCCAGCCCCCGACGCGTGCCATCAATGCCGGAATGCTAGATAAGTAAAGGAAGGGTTCAGTAATCTTGGAGCACTGTACACTATTCTCGACAGCCGTCTTCAACAAGGGGAGAAACTCACTCTTCTGGGTTTACGAGATGCCCTTAATATCATCGAGTTAGATTTTTATGCGGACAAGGAAGTTTTGAAGTTTGCCGCAGACAACTGTACCGGGCTTTGTGCTGACAGAAGTTCGGCCGAAGGAGTTCCTGTGATTGCCTGAGGCGCTAAGTAGAGATCTGGTATCAGTGGTGGAGTTATTTCGACCGAGTGGCTAGTTCCGGATGTGAGCTCAACGAAGCCTAGCTCTACAGCTCCACATGAGATAGCACTCGGGTCTCTGGGTTAGGTGTGCTTTTCCTTCGTATATAAGCCAGCTACTTTCTCTTCTCTTTGTACGGTAGACAATTCAGTACATTCGTTCTTCCTCTCTGATTTGCTCTCAACACTTTGTGCTTCGTACGTAATCAGTAATCCGGATGGGTACAGTCCGAGGAAATTCCCATTTTGTAATCGTAATCAAAGGTTGGTTCGAGGGTGCACACCAAGTAATCGATCGATTGACCGAGTGATCTTTGTGATTTACTTCAAATAACCACTCCTGTGAGTCCCTGAGCAAGTTTGTAGAGGGCTATTTCATGGACTTTAGCAACACGGATCGTCAATATATGTACAGTAACATATTAATAACCCTCTGGAGACCCAACCGTGTAACTACAATAACCCTGCCAGTACGAATTCAAAAGTGTGTAAGCCTTGATCGTACGAACTCAAATGTCCTGTAAACAAGAAGCCCGGCACGAAGCATAAAGCCCCGTACAGTATTACGGGTCTCCATAAAATTCATTATGTGTTGTCGATGCCTTACAAAGCGGGAAGAGCCCTGCTGTCACTGGAGTCCCAACTGCTACGTTCCCCGCAAAGGTACAGGGTAAAGCTGATAACTGTTTGGTATCCCCTGTTCGAAGACTTTTGCCTTTCAGAACGAGGGATAGGCGAAGAGATGAATCTATCGAAGTCGACATTAATGGTACCCTGGGACAGTATTTCCATCCCGGATACACTCGATATAGCTTACCACTGCGAATCACAGTTGACCGACTTCTTGTTAGACAATAAGATAATGAGAGAGGTATTGAGGTCTCAAAATTGTCTTTGCGAGACTTGCTCGCTAGTGCTAGAAGTTCGGAACGATGCTAGCTAAGTAGGCAAAACTGGCACACGACTGATAGCCACATCCGCACAAACTCCAATCAAACTGATCATGCGAACTAGCCAAAAGTGTAGCACACGCAAGCAAAAAATCGTGAATCGCCTACGCAAGCATTTCCTTGACAAGTGTAGCCAAGAGCCAGAGGAATATAATGTACTAGAGAATCTTGACGAGTTTATTTATGTCGAGTTAAAATCAACCAAAAGTAAGTGCATCTTCGAATATGATTCTACAAGTCTTAATACTGACTATACTGTAGCGCTGAACTCCCTCGACACTGGACCTTCACTTAAGCTAGCACGTGTGCATCGCCCGCTTAACATAGAATCCAGAGTTTCTCTACATTTCAGCTTGTGACAACGCTCTACAGCTTCCCACCTTCGCCCCCCACAATCTCTCTCTTTTTCACAATATAATGTCTGGTAACAATCATTTACTTGGTATTGTCCTTAAGCAGCTCAAGAAGTCTCGCGGGACCTCCGAGCAACTGCAGAAGCAGATTCAGGAGCTGCACCAGCAATCGGGTATTCTGTAGAATGGTGTATTTACGAACAATAGACGGAGGGTGTGGGTTGATTTTTAATCATGATCCAACATATATACCGTGCCCTTGACTTGAGAAGGCGAGACCCGTGAACAAGAATTGGGTTCCAACAGCAATGATGATGGCGTTTGGAGATGACCTGTAGCTTCTATTTAGTCTCGGGATCCACTAAGCGCCGGCTATGTGACTCGCTTTGCCACTGTGTGTTCCTCAATCCTTTGGGCAAGTCTTCCAAATGCACCCCCCCCAAACATAACTTCATACCCTACTGATCGCATGCTACTGTAACTATTCCTATGTACCACTGCCACTCCTTTCTCTTCAGGAGGGCGACGGATATTTGTGATAGCCGCGCAGCTCAGCCTATATATTTAAAAGGGTGATGCAAAGGTTCCTGAGTATGCAGGATCAATATCCATTCAAATCATTTCAATCAGTTTCTATCAACAGTTGGGGTTGTTATATCTATCGATATCACCACACCCCGTATCCCTTCCCGTCTTCATCATCACCATCCCCTCAAGTCTAGTCTAACCTTGGTATGTTCCACGAAGGTGAATGGAATCATAAGATATCACCCACCTTCTTATGTACAATGACATACTCCCATCTCTCTTTCTTTCTCATGGTCTCAACTGCGTGCAACACAGCAATATTAATTTTCGTACGTTACCCCAGCACCAATACTAACGCCCTAATTTCAGCGGGGCTACTATTGTACAGCCCAACCTCGGGGCTGTGAGAGTGGCGCAGCGAAGCTGTTGAGAATCTCGAGGCACTGTGGCATTGGGCTATGTATGGTGCTCGCGGCTTCGAACATAGGTAGTCATTAAGGTTTTTCTGACCAAGAATGCCGTTGTTTGTATTAGAGCAGGCAGGCAGTGAGAGGTGTACGAACTTGCCACTTTGTAATAATATAGGTGCTCTGGAGATAAAAGTTGCAGTGCGCAATCAGCACTTGGAGTACTATTGTGAGAGCAGCTGTTCTCACAACACCTAGTGATACAATTGGCAGTATGAGATGTCGTGAAACAGAATTCATTCCTGATCGTATACATGCCTGTGCACTAAACCACGGACATGAATTTTGTCCGTGCACCCAACTATCAATTACGCAGATTCGAGACCGCGCGCACCATAGGCTTCTAGATCTCAAGCCGCCTTGAGGTGAATTCCGATATTCTATCATCCTAACCCACCTCCCCAGTGTCATCCAGGCACACCGGCAACGGGATAGTATTTCCTCACCTAGCCTAGTATACAACACTACACTACTCTACAATCCCTCAACACTAACTAAATTTCTAGATCTCAATCCACTCACAAGTCCCTAAAACCCCGGAAAGAAAAAATCAAAAACAATGGAGAACTTGGGAATCGAACCCAAGACCTTCTCAAGTCACGAAGTGATGCGAATGAGATGTTATACCCCTAAACCAGATCCCCATATGGTGTTTGATTAAAAGATGCTGGTTCTTAGAGAGGGAAAGTGGGTGATTGGTTGTGACTGAATGGCAACCGAGCGATTTAGTGTGATGCAAAGTAGAGATGTAAGATCACCTATGATTTTTATTTGCGGTTATGAATGGTGTCTGGTATCATAAAAAGTAAACAATGCCAAAAGTAGAGATACATATCAACTTCCCCCAAACCCCCAATCGCAACAAAAGTCGTCACACACCCTACATAACCACAACCTTAACCTTCGCCCTCGCCAACTGCGCCTCCACCTCCACCGACCCAGGGAACGGCCGTTTCACAACCCCCTTCGCAATAACACCTGTCACAACCATCTGTTTCTTCCTCTCCTCCTCATCATCATCAATCTCTGTCGAATAGCTAACATCCACCATCGTCGAATCATCATACGGATCTCCGACACGAATATTATGGTCTACCTCATATACTGCTCTCTGACATTTCAATTCTGCAGCCAGCGTCCGGGCGGAATGTAGTATTTCCTTCAGGGTGTCGTAGAAGTTATCCTCAAGTTGTACTGGGTCTACTTGTAGCCCGTAGAGGAGGGCTACTAGTTGTGCGGATTGCTCGTCGCCTTCTGCGAGAGACTTTTGGACGCCCGAGAATTGGAAGAGCATTGAGACGGTGTATGCGCGCCAGAATTCGGAACGGTCGTAGTTGGGAGATTTGTCTATGAATGTCAGTTGCGGAGGGGAAAGGGGGAGGGAGTGCGAACCGCCAGCCCGGATCCAGCCGTGGAGGGCAGCCATGTGTTGCATAAATGTACTTGAGAGGTCGGGGAAAAAGGCGGATAAAATCATGTCTTCAATATATGTCCATGTCACTGTCTCAACTAACTGTGCAAAGCGTAACTTTGCCATTTCAATGTGGACTCTTGGAAGTATTATTTCTTTTAAGCCGTCGGGGAGCTGTTCAGGGCTGCATGATTGGCCTCTATTCCTGTAGGCTTTCCGTGACCATTGGCCGACCTATTACGCGTAAGCATTGGGTTTTACCAGTCCAGAGATTGAGAAAAACCTGGTCTTGAAGGTCCCGGAATTTAGATGTGAACTCCTGGTCTGTGATTGGTTCCAAGCCCGTGCCGACGCTGTTGATGTTTCTGATGTGGGCGGCGTTCAGCCGGTCGAACTTATGTTGTTGGACCTCTAGCTCGTGCTGATGATTCACCAATCTTGTTGCGGCTAGGTTTTTCTCCTCATCCAATTCGCGTCGAAACCTATCGCTGGAATCTTTCCATTTTGTTTTCTGATCCAGGAGGTCATTGTATTTGGTCACTAGATCGCGGTATCTTTGGAGCCGGCGTTCCGCTATGTCTTCCGCTTCCTTGAGTTTGGTCCGTAGCTCCTTGATTTCCGGGTCGGATTTAGATGTTGCCCTGTCTGTAGTGTGCCGAGGTTTCGTAACATTTGCTTGATCGGCACTTTGGGAGTCTGGGATTCTGGGATATGTAACCACGCTGCTGTCCTTCGATTCCGGTTGAACTTCGGTCTTCTGTTCGGGGGAAGTTTCGTGTCGTGGTGATGATGGCGGTGATGGTAGTAGTACTACTGGTGGTGGTATGGATACTTGCTGTCCACGCCCGGGTGATTTTCCGCGCCCATTGCCTCTCCCAACAGATGCTGTTCTCACCGCGCCTCGCTTCTCCGTCTGCGTCCCATCGGTTTGTTCGCCACCACGGCCATTCGCCGTGGTCATATTGTATGTATGAGATCGTTGTGGTATAGGTATAGGTGAGGGGGTGCCGCCGCCACTCCTAGTTATTGTGTTTCTATTTCTAACGGTAGCACTACTTGCCGCACTTTGAGCTCCATAAATACGCTGTGATTTCAATTAATCTGGTTCCGAGTTTATCATTTCGAGTTACCCACATCGTGCGGGGGAATTGCCGGTTGTATTGATTGCCGGCGACGTGCTGCTATTTCATGGGCTTCTTCGCACCCAGAGTAAATAGAGTGGACAAGAAAGACGAAGTGAAAACCTACGCGATCTAGGCGGAGAGAAAAACTCCACGGCTCGTTCAAACATTCCTCCTCCTCGATCACTTCCGCGGGTTCGCATGATTGTAGGCAGATGTCTAACGGTACAGTGAAAATAATGTGGATGCTGGGGTTATGTGTCGCCGTGTGTTTATAGTGTGTGGTAGTAGGGAGGGTTGGGGAGGTCTTTAATGGATAGACGATGAGGTCAGGCTGCCCAATAAGAATCGATGACGCATGCGCACTAATGCTGCGAACTTTACGCATCGATTCTTACTTAGTTCGCACCCTCACACACGTAATTGCGGGGTAAACGCGCATTAATGCGCCATGCGGCCGCTATCGACATACCCGCACCTCCAATGGCGATCCGGAGTGAAAGTGTGCGATACCGACGATCGGAGCAGGGCTTGCGGACAACACATCAAACGCCTGCAGCGCCATCCAAATCAGGGCGATTTGGACCGGCGACAAGGCTGTGTGGGAGATTGGCTCACCGCGAAACGCTACTTTGGCGCCTGGTTCCTTTTCGCTATCGATGTTGACGCATCTGAGCACATTGATTCTCCGAGCATCCGCGAATAGCATTGTGCTTGCTGCACTCCCCTCATTCTTACGACTTGATTAGTCAAGGCAACAGTGACCTGTCGCACAGCATTCCTAGGACAACGCCACAGGCCAATGTGCACAAGACGCTTAAATCCCCCGTACTCCACCATGAGGTGGTGTTCAAGTGAGCAGTATCGCAAGCTACCTACCCCGCCTAGCAATAACAGCCTCACATCATCACTATCATATATACGTTCACACACAGTCAACCGAAAATTTCCCAGCATAGACGATGGTGCGAAGAAAAATGAGTACTCCTAACAAAAACGACCGCTTTGTGATTGGCGTTGATTTCGGGACTACGTGGGCTTCTAACTCTCCTTTGGTCAGCATTCGACTGACATGCAGTCTCCAGATTCACCTCGGTAGCCTTCGCTCACACTACAAGCCCCGAAGAAGTAAAGCTTGTTCAGACCTGGCCAAACGGAGGGATTGGGAATGCCTCGGCAGACCAAGTTCCCACGGAGGTTCACTACACCAACCCGATTACGCGGGCAAAGATCTGGGGCTACGAAACTTCAACCATAAACAAAGGCGCATCGAGTCTGGATCCCTTGAAATGGTTCAAACTCTTGCTCCAGGATAGACCTACAGCACCGATTGGTATGCGATCTGCCGCATATTCACACAAGGGTAAAGGAAGAGCCTCTAGTAGTAGCTTTGAGGGATTCTTCGGTGGCCTCGGGATTTCTTCTTCCTTGGGGTTGTCGACCACATTTACACCACCGACCTACACCCCCGCCCAAAAGACGGCGCTGAAGCTCCAACAAGCGAATATCTCGCCAGTTACCGTTGTTACAGACTTCCTTTCAGCCGTTCGGGAGACCACAGTCGCCAGCATTGAAAGGACTTATGATCCAACATGGGTTCGCGAGAACAAGAAGGAATATGTATTGACGGTTCCAGCCATTTGGTCAGATGCTGCGAAGAGTCTTATGGTGCAAGCAGCTCAAGACGCCGGTTTTGGGACTCATCGTGTCGATTTCAGCCTTATCAGTGAACCAGAAGCTGCAGCCTCTCACACTCTCAAGGCAATCCAACCAAATAACCTCAATGTGAGTATTAAGGATCCACCCAACCAAAAGGCGTTAACACTGGCTTAGTGTGGAGACACATTCATAATCTGCGATGCAGGTGGAGGAACTGTGTAAGCCCATGTCCCGTTGGAATGAATTGTTGCACGTACTTACATGGATCTAGAGATTTGATATCGTACAAAATTGTGGGGTTGGATCCGCTTCAAATCGATGAGAGTGTTAGCGGTTCTGGTAGGCCTCCAGTGGTCCCTAATAGTTAGTATACTATCTGACTGGTCTATAGGTGACATGTGTGGGTCTGTGTTTTTGGATGAGAGGTTTGAGGAATACATCCGGTACGGATTGCATTGCTTCATTAATATCCGAAGCTAACAAGATAATAGGAGAGTGCTCGGCGATAGGGTCATCGACGGAATGAAGGTATGCTACTAGTGTCCCTATCATCACCGTTGACTAACTCACCGTTCAATAGCCACGGTCCAGGTATATCGCTTGTAACCCTTCTAAATGATTGAGTAACTTATTTTTTTTTAGGAACGAAATGTTCCGAACCTGGGAGGAAAAAGTCAAATACAAGTTTGGGAACATTAGCAACCATGAAGGGTTCGAGATCACTGTTGCTGGAGTACCTGACGACGAATCCAAAAATGTTGAGGATGGTTTTCATACCATACCATCGTAAGTAAACATTCTTCCAATCATGCGTCCATTTCTGACCCCAGCAGGGGCGAAGTTAAGAAGATATTCGACCCAATTGTGGACTGTATCGTCAAGCTAGTGAAACAGCAAGTGACCGATGTACACCGCAAAGGCGAAAAAGTGGCCGTAAGTGGACTTAAGCTATTATCCAGCCCAACAGCTAAGCAGACCAACAGGCAATTCTTCTTGTGGGAGGGTTTGGCTCCTCGGAATACCTTTGTAGACAGTTGCAGATCGCCAACTATGGGACTGGCGGGCCTATCCAAGTACTTCAACCAACGAATGCGTAAGCACCCTTACCTCCTCCTCCTCCTCCTCCTCCTTGCGCTCTTACACTGACATCCTTTAGCCGAACCGCAATTGTGGGTCCACCTACTTACACTCTACCCTCCATAATTCCATTAACCTTCTTAGGCTCGCGGCGCGCTCCTCCGTGGCCTCGATGGCTCCATCGTCAACAATCGGCGCTCCCGTCTCAACTACGGATGCATCTCCTCAACCTTCTACCAACCCGGCAAAGGGTGGGACGCACACAAATACTGGGAGAGCTCCGACGACAAGTACCTAGTTGACGGGCACCTAAACTGGTACATCACACGGGTATTCCCCCCCTCCCCCTCCCCCCTCCCCTCCCCTCCCTTTTCAG